AATAGCACCGGTAGTCCAGGAGGTTGTGGTGTTTGACACGAATCGTAGTCAAGTGAAAACCACTATTGATGGCAAACCTGTCGGTGCGGATGTCGGTAAGAATGGGTCGACTCAAATAGAAATGAAGTTAAAACTACATTTAAGTGAGCTTATCACAATAATAGGTCAATTGTGTAAGTGTTTTTAAAATTTTATTTATATTTCTATTGAAAAATGTAATCAAATTGCTTTTCATGCGATTATCTTGGATTTCGTACAGGAATATAGCCTTTCATTCAATTTGATTTGCATTTTCGCTAAAATTTACAAAATTCTCAGACCATTGTTGAGGACAGGGTCTACATACAAAAATATGTACAGGGTCTACATACAAAAATATGTACAGGGTCTACATACAAAAATATGTACAGGGTCTACATACAAAAATATGTAATGCAATAAAATGAGGTCACAAATAACATACGTTTTTAAATGTAACTTACCAAAACAGTACAAATATGATCATATTTTGAATATAAAATTGTTTTATTTTCATATGTTATTCATGAATAAGTAAATATTCAAAAATACACTGTTCAAATAAAACGAAATTTATACTTTTCTAGATTAAATATAGTCCTGATTATTAATCATAAAAATTTACCTAATCATTAAAATAGCATTTGATGGGAACGGCATTCATTTCTTGTGGCAATACATTCGCACGAATTGTTTGTGAAGATCCAGTTCCCGGACCGACTCATCGACCGCCATCTCATCCCACGCGCGAAGGTTCGGGTGTTTGGCGTTCGGGCGCACCATTCGGTCGAACATCAAGTTCCGTCGCAATTGATTGGCGGGTGTCATCTCCACCAATGGTATAGTAAACGTCTCTGAAAGCATCAAATTCATTCATATCCATAGACCTCATCACGTTATTTATGGATTAGTTTTAAGAAGATATACTAAATTGAGATTCAAATTGAACGCTAACCTAACGCCTGTTTCCTTGTGAGGCGGAAAACCACTTCAAATAAATCGCACGTTTGCACTGACAATTCCGATGCTAAACATACGTCCCTCCATTGGGCGACATCTTTTAGATATGCACCTTGGTCTAATTTGTTACTCACAGTTGAGCTCAATTTATTTAATTCGAAGGTTCCGATGTGCGCTACAATTGCTGCCCCCGTAGCCAACAGTCTGCATAAAACAGCCATTAATTGACTTTTATTTTTCATCCAATGGAGAGCTATATTGGAGACAATGAGTGATACTCTGCCCTCCAGTTCCCTCATACGGGGCGTCAACTCATCCCACGATAGGCTCATGTCTTGTGTCCAATACTCCACGGAATACACGGATCTGCAGTTCTGTTGGGCGAATGCAGTCATCTCGGGGTCGATGTCGACGCCTATAATGCGGTTGTGTTTGACCCCCGATTGGGCCAACAGTTCCGTCATATATCCCGTTCCGCATCCGATGTCAACGATTAGG